GGGAGGCCAGATAGTATCTAAAAGGAGCTCCACTGACATAGAGTTCAGTGTGTGTGTGTGTGTGTGTGTGTGTGTGTGTGTGTGTTTTCAAGTGCGAAGAGCATCAACCCAGGGGAGAAGGAAGAAGACCATCTCATTTGTAAGTAGGAGTGGTGGTCCCTGGGTTTGGGGGACATTCAACAAGCAAGTCAATGTCATTGCCGTTCAGCATGGAACCTCTCTGATTTTCTGCACCTGCAATTCTGTGTATGTTGGATCTCAGGGAGTACCTACTTTAAGAGCAGGCCCAATAAGGTTTTAGGACCCAGAGACTGAAGAATAAAAGGCACTAACCCTAAAATCCAGGCAGGATCAGCGATAACCTTCTATGCCAGTAGCTTCTAGTATTGGGATCATGGGTCTCTTTGACAATATGATGGACGATACGGAGTCTGTGTCCGGAAAAATACTCCCACTTTGTGTGGGATTTTAGGGGGTCCACAGATACTCATTTTAAAAACCTGTATTCTACGTATTTTTGGCTTCTACTAATTTAGCCGGTTAAATTGTGAGACATTTTCTACAGGCTTCCTTCTCCATCCAAGTGACAATGGTATCCATTTTACCTAAACTTTCTAAACTTGCAAGAAATTCCACTTACAGTTTGGTGAGTGTTATGGGGGACCGCCAGGTAGGTATTGAAGATTAGTTAGAGCCAGGAGGAGGCCTACAGAGTGCAGCTTTATCTCTTTCCAGGGGTCTACATACCGCCCCCATAGCTCCTGAACTCCAGAAGCATATGGAGGTTGGGGGCCGCCTTAAGTTATCTGAGCAGGAAGGCGCCTCTCCAGAACTCTTTCTTGGAGATCCCACTTCTGCTTATGGAAACTGTTCCCCTGGCAGAGACCACCCAGGTCTGGAATTACTAGAGCCCCACATCTGTTTGTTATAGACTTCACAGGTATGAGCTGTTCCATTCACATCAGGTCATTACCATGGGGCCCAGGTATCATCATCCTCCTTTAGAGGTGAGGAAACTGAGGCTCAGAGAGACCAGATGACTTGCTAGGAGTCATGCAGGGGCAAATGACAAAGCTGGCGTGTAGTCTGGGCCTGGGACTCCAAATTCAGTGTCCTTCCATTACATTCTAGCAAAATCTCTCTGAGGTTTGTTTTAATCACTGATTTACACGAATCTCTTGGATAAGAATACATGTGATAAGAAATTATCTCAGATTCCTTACCCCTGTCAAGAATATCTTAATTTCTGGTAAGCAGACAGGGTTTAAAAGGAAAGTTGTGTTTGTCTCTGAAACAGCCTAGCTTAGGGTGGATTTGAGGTTCCTTATGGTGGTGAGCTCTTCTCCACTAACCTTCTCTCTCTATACGCAACAAAAATCTTGATTTTTTTTTTTTTATGGGAAGGAAAGGTATGGTTCATTTAAATGATTCTTCTGGATCAGCCCAGGCACTCCTGGGTTAACCAGAAATATATAGCCTCGGTGCCACGGATCCCCTGGCCATCCCTGTATGGCTGTCTCCGTCTGGGCCGTGGGCTCCTTTCCTGACCTGAAGGTTAGGTCCCACCCCTGCTCCAGCTCAAGGGAATGTAAACTCCGGCAAGCTTGGGTTTCTCCGATTTTGTTCTGTAATCGGCGTTTTATTCTAGGAAATCTCTTCATTATTGCGGTTTAAATTTTATGTTCTTAGCATGCTTCCTCTGCTTCGTGGGTTTTACATGAAATGGCTTAGACTAAACCAGTTACCGGCAGGAGAGGCCATTTGAACCGAGATGTTTACCGCCATCTAAGACGTCTTCTGGGGGCAGTTCACGCCCCCTGCACCCCTCCCTTCCTTCTGCCTGGGCCGGGCGGAGCAGAGTCTCTTCCCAATTCAGTATGAAACTGACCACTGTTTCACGCTGTGTTTGGGTACGAAGTCAATATGTAGAGGGTCCTCCAGCTCCTGAGGCCTCAGGGTGGATGGTGGGAACTGTACTGGGGCCCAGGGGTGTCAGCGCGCTTGAGGAAGCGATGGAAAAGCACCAGCCTGCACTTCACAGAGGCCTCTTTAGCAACTTCAAGTGACAACAGAAAATGCCGA